GGTGAGGGGCAAGGAGCAGCAGGGCTGGGGGGCAGTGGCTTTGGGTGAGGGGCAAGGGACACAAGCAGAGCTAGGGGGCAGGGGCATGAGCAGGACTGGGGGGCAGGGGCAAGGGGCGGCAGGGCATCCTGCCATGTACCCCCTGCCCTCGTTTTGTTTTTCTGGCATGCCAACACTCCGGCACCTTCCAAGGTAGGCATTGTGGGGGGTTTTGGCACTCCGTTCAAAAAACGTTGCCTACCTCTGTGCTAAGGTAATGCATTAGTTCAGACATTACCAGAACCTATGCATCTGTCCTCTGCCTCCAAGGAGTCAGTCGGTTGTGGGAAAAATTGAGGAAAATGGGCACCAGGGTGTCCCCGGGGGGGCTGCAATGCCACCTGGTGGTAGCGCAACCCTAGCTTGTTCTGCCTTTCTAGGGAACTCTCCTTTGCTCCCCCTCTACACCTTGATGTTCTAGTTTTTTGAAGGAAGGGAGGCTTCCCCCCAGGGCTTTCCAGGCCTGGTCTCACTCACTAGCTTGTGGACTAATTACGTGTTTCAGAATACCCATATATGCTTGTCAGGACTCAGTCTTTCTGGTCTCAGCCCTCTCTTTCTATTGGCTGGCTCCCATCTAAGCCCAGTGCACCGAACCTGGCTTCTGGGTCCCAGGCGTGTCCCGGCCCTCCTTGGGTTTTGTCTCTGTCTGGCCCCCAAATGCTGCCCTGCTCTGGTCCTTGGACTCTCCAGCTCCCAAACACTGCCCTGCTTCAGGCTCCCAGTAGGGTTCAAGGCAGTCAGGTGCCCCTAGTGCACTAATGGGATCTCCAACAAACCACCTTTCATACAGTCCCACCCAAACCATTGGTATAACTTAAGATGTGGCAAGCAACTGGTTCATACAAGCCTTCCCTTCTGGGCAAATGTGCATCAACACAAGGAAGACAGCACCTACCACTTTAAAAAAAGAAAACCTCTCTCCCCTATCAGGGTAGGGGAGCAAACAACCAAGGTAGCCTTCCCTGGATACCAACATAACCCCCAGCTCTGGATTATATCCACCTGTAGACTCTCAGCATCTTGCTGGTAGTTCCCAGGCAGCTCAGCAGTCCACAGATGGTCCCTTGCAGGCTTCCTAGCCAGGGGCTCCTTCCCCTGTAGCTTGCAGGACCAGACTGCCCCCCTCTGGCTCAGTGCCTGTGGTCATATGGCTCCCTAGTCCCTGCTGGTCTGCTGGAGGTGGTTTGTGATATGGCTTGCTAGGGCAGCCTCAGGGAGACCACTTGTTGCTGGGACCTCCTGCAGTGTTTCTTTGCGAGCCCCCAGCCCCTGATGTTGTTGTCACTGTTGGCTCTGTGTGGTAAGCGTCTGTTCGAGTCTTTTTCACCCTTAAGTCTGTGGGGCTTGTTTGGCCAGCAGGCCCTGGGATTTGCTCTCCTTCTCGGTAATAGGGTAGGGAACCCTGTTATACAAGGGAGAAACACCTTTTACAGCAGGAACATG